CGATTACCGGTTATGTTTACATGTTAGGAAATACTGCAATAACATGGAAATCCACGAAACAGCAGACGGTGGCGCTATCATCTACTGAGGCAGAGTATATGGCACTGGGTGACGCAGTTAAAGAATTACTATGGTTAACACAACTGTTGAAACACATTGGACTTAAAATGAACAAAGTCCCCTGCATCTTTGAAGACAACGAAGGGTGCAGGATGTTATCAACGCATCCGGTACATCACCAGAGAACCAAACACATTGATATTAAACATCATTTTGTTAGACATCATATTTCAGAAGGAAACTGTGAAATAGTTTCAATCAACACTGAAAATATGGTTGCTGATATGTTGACTAAAAGTTTAGCCAAGATTAAATTCAATAAGTTTGTTGGTCTAGCTGGAATGTCGAACATATCTACAAGTGTTTAGATTATGGTGGGGTGTTGAGATAAGATGCCGAAGTCAATAAGTATCAATAAATTAGAGAAAGAGGCTTATAAAAGACAAGGCATCAAGTAATCTAAAACTGGAAAGATTAGTCGACGTCATTCGTGTACAAATAGGAGAGGTTTTGTCTCCTATCTGTGTTTAGAATTATTAGTCATAAGTAGTTGTATGAGTTGTTTTTAAATAAGCAACAAGTATAAGATAAAGTGAACAATATACTGTTGTAATCTAGCTATTCTATTATGAATATCCATTGTATATGTTCACTTTTTCTTATGTTTGTTGCTTATTTATATTTAACTAATATAACTAGCCTACAAACTAATATTCTCAAACATAAATACAAGGGACAAACCTCTTGTATTTATACACTTACACCTTCGGTTAAACTTGCCATTATTCATTTATCATGGCGGCTAACTTTCCAGTTTTAGATTACTCAAGATGCCTTATCATGATAAGACTCTTATCTCTTATCACTCAATCCTTATTGGCCTCGGCATCTTATCTCAACACTAAGATACCTTATCATGATAAGATTCTTATCTCTTATCCCTCGATCATGATTGGCT